AAAATGACAATGAAAAATATGTGTTAGAAGTATTGGAACATAATGATTTTTATTTTATTGATGTTTTAAGACATTTAGATCATGATAAATGGAGCGGATCGTCCATTGAAATAGCTCAATCCATGTATTGAGAGGTCCATCCTTAGATTCAATCTAAGGTTGCTCCTTAGAATCATATCTCCCCCCCCCCCCCACACACACATATGTGTGTATATGTATATATGTACACACACATGTATATGTGTGTATATGTATACATGTACACACACACACATGTATATGTGTGTGTGTATGGCTATATATATATATATATGTGTGTGTGTATATATATGTATATGTCTATGTGTATGGGGAGGGTCTGGGGAGAGAAAGGGTGAGGGTATGGGGAGTTGATATCTCACTTGGGAATAGGGGTCACGAGAAGATCCAACGACCATATTTGTTCACGAAAATCCAACGGCCAAATTTCATTTTCGCACTGTTGCTGTGCGAAAACTTTTCGCATCCGAAGAAATCTATATACACACACACATGTATATATATATACACACACACGCACATATGTATACATATGTATATACATGTATATATATATATATATATATATATATACATATATATATAATATATATATATAATATATAATATATATATATATATACATCTACATTTATATATACATCTACACGTTTACATCTACATTTATGTATACACACATGTAATACACATCTACATATATATATACACTCTACATTTATGCATATAATGTTGTGCTGGTAGTTGAGGCTGGCATAATCCCCTACACTACATTCAAATGAGAGCACCACACTTCACATGCGTTGAGAGTGCATTTGGCGATATGTAACCATCTTGAATGCAGTGGAGCGGGGGGATTATGCCACCTCCACTACAAGCATAACTTTTTAATGCTTCGTACCAAGCATACCCCATTTCTCTCTCTCACTATATATATATGTATATATATATATATGTAGTATATATATATATATTATATTATATATATATATATATGTATATATATATATATATATATATATATATATTATACTATTATAATATATATATTATATATATATAGAAATGGTATGGTATGCTTGGTACCAAGCACAAATTTTGGTTTGATAGTGACGGTGACACAATCCCCTTCCATTCATTCAAATGCGGGGGACCACAATTCACATTGGGTTGAGAAGTACATGCAGGATATGCCCAACCATTTGAATGAGTGGAGTGGGATAATGTCACCTCACTACAAGCATGATTTTTTGTGCTTTGGTACCAGCATACCAATTTTTCTAAATATATATATATATATATTAATATATATATGTGTGTGTGTTGTGTGTGTGGTGCACTGTGTGTGAGTGTGTGTGTTGATATCTGTTGTTGATTATCTTAAAACATACTTTTAACATGGATCAGTCATCTCTTTTGTTAATGAGTAGTTTTGTATGGGGTCTACCCATCAACAAGATCCCTCTGCTTAGTGAAGGTCCTTTGCACATCAAAATGTAAACATTTGTAAACAAATAATGAGAAAATTATAAATTAAAGAATATGCAACCAACTTACCAATATTTTGTAAAACTCCAAGTTCCTTGTGTGATCCCTCAAGAAGTACTTCTAACTCTCACTAGACTTTCCTAGTGCAAACACATACATAAATATCAATTTCAACATAATACATATGTTTATGCATATCTTATGCAATTGCCTTATTAACACTAGTTCTTTCCTTTCTCTTCTTTCTTTTCTTTTCTTGCTCTGCTCGTTGTTACTGCATCAGTTTCTCTTTTGAGTTTTTTTTTTTCCTTTTTGTTGGTCAAGTGAAGGGATAGGGATGGAGAAGGGAATTAAATATTGCTACCCACATAGGGGTGCTAAACCGTATCAGTATCCGAGGAAATATCTGTAACAGTATCCGTTAGGGTACGGGTATGGTTATTCAAATCTATAACCGATAGAATATGGTTACGAATATGTTTTGTAGTGAAATATCTGTATCTGTATCCGAAATATCCACAAACATATTAGTCATACTATTACGACAATTGTAATCAGTAGATTATAGATTTGAGGTTAATTTTGGTCATCAAGATGTTTAATCTTATTTTTCAGATATAATGAGCATATTAATGAACTCTTTTGTATCACATGAACTATATTTTTTTAAATACTATCTAGTTTTCTCATATCTGTTTTGTATCCACATGTCTATTTGTAACCGTATTCGATTTTAGCAGATATGGATATGAATTTTCCTTACCGAGGTATATCCATATTTGTATCCGAGATGGCTAAGCAAATATGGATATGATAAGTATCATATCCGAGCCGTATCCAGATTGAGTGCACCCCAATACCCACCTCCTGCTCTATTATGGGACACATGTCCTACTTTCTCCCCAATTGCCACCTCAACAAATAAATATCTTTTGGACCCATGTCCAATTGTCCATTAGTTATACATAAAAACCCCTTGCAAATTTCCATTTTTGCATACATTTAACTTTTTGTTGCAACATCATATAATATTTCCTGACATTTACAAATATGCATCCTAAGATTATATTAAATAATTATCTAATTCATAAGGATTTTAAATTCTAAGAACAAAATTATTGGTGTTACAAAATAAATTAACACTTTATTCAATGGATGAGTATAAAAACACTTCTAAAATTAATTAACAATTTCAATGCAATGGATGAAGTTAGAACTATATCAAGTCGTGGAAACAACTTGTAGAAAATCGTTAGGCAAGGGTGCATACAATAGACCCAAATTGGTCTGGCCCCTTCTTGGACCCTGCATATATCAGGAGCTTCGTGCACTAGGCAGCTTTTTTTAATTTTCACTTTGCTGAATGTACATCCCTAATGGGAGAAGATTCCAAGATGTCTTTTGCATAATAAAGTGGAAAAAACAAGCTCTAATTGAAGTTCGAAGTATTGACCATTCCATATCACTGCATTGTATGAATATTTACTTCTGGTTGGTTCTTGCAAGGAATCCACAGTGCAGTTTTCAGTTTACTATGACATATTTGCTTTTTCTTATGTCTTATAGTCTTTTTTGTGATTTGGGTAAGCCCATTATCATGCATATGTTTTTGTTATTTGTAGGAAGATGATATATCTTTAACACTCCCAGCTTTTCACATATGAGCTTTTTTTTTGGGAGTTTATAGGATGTGAATACTGTCAATGATGAATCCTAATTTACTTAAATAAATTTAGTGAACTTGATTTCTTGGCAGCCAGAAGCTCTGACCTATCTTTTGATTGAGGTATGGGGGCATATATCATGAAAACAATATATTGGAACAAACTCATTTATGGACCTGTTTGATAAGTCTTCCACTAACCAGGTTTTTAGAACTAACTCGCTAAAATTTTGTTTAGCAAAAACTAGGCTAGAATCGACCAATATTTTTTAGTTCAAATTTTGGTCTTAAAATCAGTTTACTTCTGGGCGGGGTAGGTGGTCCAGAAATAAACTTAACTTTTTTTTTTTTTTTTTTGGGGGGGG